CTCAGGTCTTGGTCATGGTTTTGGATGGTGATTATTCCCACTTACAGTTAAGGAAACTGAGCCTCAGAAAGACTCAAAATCACATGGCCAGTCAATGGCCTAACCAGATTTATATAGGTTTGTCTAGCTCCAAAGCCTGTGCTTATATTGCTGCACTGTGCTCACCGCCTTGAAGATAGGACATAGTTTTATCATCACTGGTTCCTGGGAGAGGCAGGCACACTAGTACTCATTATAATTCCACATGAGCAGGGCAAACCAAGAGGTGAAAACTAAGAGCCCCTATTTATAAACAGATTTCTCTAGGCCTTTCTTTTGTGCTGGGTAGTCATCAAGGAGTTGACCAAAATATAAATATTTTTTCTCCAGTAAGATGATAGCACAGTCCACTTGGAAGGAGAGATGAGGTTTGTTTCGCTTCCACAGTTTTTGAAAATTGAATTGTGACAAGTACTAAGATCTGTGGATGCAAAACTGCAGTCTATCCTTGAAGACGTACGATTGCTTACATAAAGTACAAAGTGGAGTTTTAAACCCTACCAAACTAATCTCTTCCCTCTTGGTAGAACGTGACATGTTTAATTGTATTTTCTTGATTTCTGCCGTAGTGTTATTTTGCTGATTATTTTTACAGACTTCTTGTTCATCTTAGTGTCCGACATATAGTATACAATAAAATATTTTGTTGGGACTTTTATTACTTAATGTATGTCATACATGATTAGAGTAAACCAAATATCTAAGTTCAGTTTAAATAATGATGCTAAAATTAATGCCCGTGTACCTGCACCTAGCCTGTGCGAGAGAACATTGCCAGTGTCGGTGAGGTGGAAAGAATTTCACTATATTGTTAAACAGATGCAAACTGATGTTCTGTTGAATTTTGCCTTGCGTTCTAGCTCCTTGCAGTAATTTTGATTCTTGTTTTAGACATATGCCCTAATAAGTGATTCTTCCAAGTTTAGCCTTTGAGAATATGTTGTTTTACTTTCATCTCATTTTCTTTATGATTTATTAAGCATGTTGACTAAAAGTGAACTCCTTTTCAATGGGGTTTTCAGCCCCTCTCCTCACTGTTCCATCATACAGGCCTCGGTTCAAGAAGAGCTAGCATAAATTTGGTGCTTAATATGGGATAAGTTGTATGTGACATTATTTAATCCTCACAAGAATCCTCCCATTTTGGAATTGAGGCGACTAAGGGACAGAAAATCTTCCTTAAGGAAGATACTTTGTCTAGAATGTGGCAGAGTAAGAGTTCTAGCTAAGATAGGCCTTTGTGCTGACCCATGCTCTCTCTTTGACCACTCATAACTGGCAGGGAAAACTTACCAAAGAGTCTTTTGGAAATAAAAATTACTTAGCATAAGCTGGACATGGGAGGTAAGGAGTCTAGCCTGGGCTCTCTAGCAAGTTCTTGGCCAGCTTGATCTAAATAACAAGATGTGTTTAATAGATACGCATGACATCCACATATTACACATACCAATTTACTTGTCTTCAAGGCTAAGAGATATTTTTCAATTTGAGAGAATCTGTTGGCTTTGATGGCCTTTGTGTTCTGTTCTTCAAGTCTGAAAGACCCAAGGAGGCAATGATAACCTAGAAACAAGATTCTAGTTTATCAGAAGTAAGTGTAGAACTTGTGGAGTATGTTGTATGAGTACGCTGTGTTTTCATGATGTTAGACACATTATTTAATGCTCCCTGCTTCGTTATACACATCTACACAATAGGAATAATGACCACATCTTCCTTAGACTTGTGAGGACTGAGGGATTTAATACTAGAGTGAGGCCTGTGACAAGTCCTCAGTCTGAGTCACTGTGTTGCCGCCAGCAATACCATTAGTACTGGGAAGTCAGCATTCTGTGTTGACACCTGTCATCAGTGTGGGGCAATGATCTCCCTTGTGTTAGACCACAGAGCAACCTCCAAGACAAATAGCCATCAGCATGGAAGAAGCATCCGCAAAAATACTTTTAAATATTTAGGTTTACTGCAAGGGATTAAAGAACACACAAATACAAAATGTGCATTCTCTTTTCCCCTCAAAACAAACTGCAGCTTCTTTCTCCAAGAGTATGGGGTTGGAAGTGATGGGAAGTACACTTTGTTTCTTACTTTACTGGGACTGTCTAATGAGAAACATGTGCTGTGCCAGATGAGGGAACACAAACAGAGTCAACTCAGACCAGCTCCCTGGTCAGAACTAAGCAAAGCCACCATTGGACATTTGTGGTGAGCAGCAGAGCTGCAGTCTTCCAGTGGCATCCTGCTGCACTAGCAAAGTCTCATCTTTAAATTATGAGACTGGGGTGGGAGGCAGGGCATGATGCATGTCCTTTCTAAGCCATCTGTAGGAGAATGAAAAACATATCCAGGGGTTTGAGGTCCATGTCAGCCTTAGATCAAATCCTTCCTCAGGCCTTTGCCAGCTGTTTGACCATGGACAACTTTATTACCTGACTACTCTAGTCAATCGAGTGGAGCTGAGAGTTTACCAAAAGAGATGATTTGGAATGGAATGGTGAATATCCATTTGCCAGTCTAAGTCTTAGACCCTAAGTAGGTATGAATATGACTGCCTTTCCACCCTTAAGAAACTCAGTGTAGAGCAGGAGTATCTAAGGTTGGCATGGGATAAAATCTTCATGGAGCAAAAATAGAGTGACAAAACTAAGTGTCATCTACTGTGTGCTCATGCTGGCTCGAACTCTCTCTCTCTCTCTCTCTCTCTCTCTCTCTCTGGGGTCAAGCTAGGTCCTCACTCCTTTTGGGAAACCAAACTTTAATGTCCCCATCCCCAGTCAGCACATATCCTGCACCCCACCGGCAACACTGTACACACACACACACACACACACACACACACACACACACGAGCATGCACAGTGCACCCACCTGAGCAGACTGTGGTTTCATCTTCATTCACATGCGTCTTCCACAGAGAGGCTTTCCCTGGCCTTAGGTTAGATTAGATCCCTCACTTTTTGTGCTCTGGGAATACCTTTCAGTTTCCTTCACACCCTCATCAATGCACACTGTGTGACAATTTGATTAGTGCTTGGTTTGGCGTAACCAATTATCCCAGTCAGATTTAGACTGGATTTTTTCAGGACCTGGGATATCCAGCTTTAAAATTGTGCCCGAGTGATTGGCCACTCTGGTCATCTCCTGCTGAGGACAGCATGCTTCATGAGCACAAGGACTCTGCCCTTATCTTTCCTTTTCCCCCAGAACCTGGCATGCTTCTCAGTCCTAGTGGGAACTCAGGACATATCTGTGGAACCAGTGAAGGGTGACTATGTCTATGTAAACTGAGCTCTTTTCTTATATGAACTTGTATTTTTTACCCTAAAATTATTATTTTAAGTATTAAATAGCCCTTTCGTTTGTTTTCCATAAAATTTCTCTATTTGACAATTTGAAGTTGATGATGTTATATAGTTTCTTTGCCTTCCTTCACTCCCTTCACATTTAGAGGTTAAAACCTGCTAATTTGAAGAATCACCAGTCAAGGAACCGGAATAGTTGGCACTGAGGTATTGTAGAAGTCCATCTCCACACTAATGCTAGAACGTGGAGTTCATGAGGCCAGAAATGATGGTTGCTCAGTTCTCTATCTGAAGGGCTTAGCAGAATACCAAGCTGAATAAATATTTGTTGGCTAAATAAATGAATGGATTCTGGGCCTCAAGACCTGGTAGAGTCGATGTCAGTGCCTAACTCCCCTTCCTCCCGCCCTCTCAGGAACACTCTCCACAGCCATAAATCTGACTTTAGCAGCCATTCCTGATAGATGGGGGAGATGCGTACACCGCTGCAGCTGAGCGAACACGTGATCCAGAACTTCCTGCCCTGGCTCTTTACATGTTTCTCTTTCACTAAAGGACCACCATGGGCTGCTGCAAACAGCACTGCAGCATCTTGAACTTGACAGCACCTCTCATCCACAGGGCTTCATTCACAAAGGCCTGTGCCCCTTTATGTAGCTAGGTCGTGCTAGTCTTAGTTTTCAAACTAAGCTATTCCCTAAGAAGGCACCTCTCTACCACCCCTCATGTCAAAAACAGAATTAGAACAAATTAGCAGAAAATTTTATTGTCATAAAAAGACCCAGATTGTGATCAGCAAGACTTCAACTTAAGTGACCAAAAGCTTGCCTTGTGCAGCTGCAGCATTTTATAAAGCAAAAGGATCGAGCACTTTAGCTTTTCCCTCATTGACTCTTATACATTAACTTTTTTTTTTAAACAAAACATAACCATTTAAACTGATGGCCTATAGCTAACTGGTTTGACTTTACCGCACCATGCTGGCAAGGACACAAGTTTGCATTATAATATCACTAAATTAGGTTGGCAAGAACATAATTATGCTTTGTTTTGCTTAGAGTATTTTGGGGGAACCAAGATACCTTAAGGTTTAGCTACTTAATTATGGGTAGTTGAGTTAATAGTACTGATCTAAATTGTCATCCTGTGTAGGTATGGGAAGGGGAGGAAAAGGAGACCACTTTTGTAATTCCTGCCGCAGAGAGGAAGCCAACTTGGAAACTCTCTGTCAGTTCCTCTCCAAAATGATTATATTTGCTCCCTTGACATCTGGATTCCTTTATCAGAAAGGTTTTCACAGATGGAGCCACACCCTTCCTTGGGAAAGAGTGACTTCTCCACCATAGAAAATAATTCCCCAGTCATAGGAATGTCACCTGTAGCATAGTAAAGCTCCATCCCGAGGGTTAGTGAACGTGCATCATCTGATAGGAGAGTAAAACTCCCTCCATCCTGAGGGTCCATGGTCATAGGGTCATCCACTGGCAGGAGATTAAAACTCCCTCCATCTCTGGGCCAGTGATCATACACATCGAATGATAGGCTAGTAAAGCTCCTCCCATCTTGAAGGTCAGTGTTGGTAGGAACATCAGCTGGCAGGGGAGGACAGCTCCCTCCATCCCTGGGTCAGTGTTTTCACATACTTTTTCCTTTTTATACCAGATCAGCAAAGATCCAATTTTTGTACCAGGCATCTGGGGACCATATTTCTCAGCCATGGTTCCTGGCTTCTGGCTGAATGAAGGTGGTCAAAGTGTTACTGGAAAATTGGTAAGTTGACACTTTCTCCAAAGAATTGTGAATGTTCTGTTGTTATTTTGTCACATCACCTATGCACACGATAGCTGGGACATCAGCAACACTCTGAGTACACTCTCAGCACAGTCCAGCCCTCAGTGCAGGTGCAGTGTGCTGAAGGAATGAATGTTGCTCCAGGTGGCAGTAACCAACCCCTTTTCTCAGCACTTACCCCACACCCAGCAATTTTTTTTCAGGGGAGTAATATTCTCATTTGTGAAATAGCACTCTTACCTCTTGCCTGTCACTCATGGTTCCCCCTAACCCTGGAGACAATTCAGTAAAGGATTTCAGATAAGCTTCTGGCACTCATACCCTCCATAGACTGTCCCCCTAGGCCCACAAATGAACCTGCCACGTAAGCTAGATTGTAAAGAACTCTTCCTACTCACAAGGGTCTCATGACTCATGTTATTCCATTCCTCTGCCCTTCTGTGCTTGATTCCTTCCCTGCTTATAGAGTTATTTGCCAACTTGATGATTTTACTTGCTCTTTAAGACAGAACTCTAGCTAATCTAGACTACAATCAGGGAAAGTGAGAGAGAGAGAGAGAGAGAGAGAGAGAGAGAGAGAGAGAGAGAGATTCCAGCCACAGTCACAGCCCAGTCTGATATTCTTACTGATTTATTAATCTGCTATTCTAGAACACTTTGTGTTCCTTAAAGTAAAGACCATACCACGATTCTCTGTGTATATAGCTTGATGCTTAAATCCATAGCAAAAGCTGTGTAAGAGGGAGATACAAGAGCCATAAAAGTGAGGTGAGAAAACATCGTGTAGGAAGAAGGCATTTTCATTGAGCCATAGGGGAAAATGGAGAACCAAGTAAAGAAAGTATCTTCAGAGGAATCCATGTGTGAAGATGTAAAAGTGAAAAAAAAAAGTATATTTCAGAGTGAGTGCAGCTAGTCCAGAATTTCAATGTGGTACAAACTATTCTTTAATACAGTAAAGGCAATTGAACAGGGCAAGTGCCACATCTTAAGAGAAACCCTGTAAACATGTTAAAGGAGCCAGAGAAAGGTTGAAAGAGTAGCCGAGCATGTTCAGATATCATGAAATCTGGCTAGCAGCACGAGAAAGAAGGCCTGGGGGGCTCATGGACAGGAAAGCCTAGCCACTATGAACAAGCTAGTCCCCAGACAAGAAGTCATGAGGGCTTCCCTGAGAACCGTGGCCATGCTGAGTAGAAACTGAGGCCAGAAGATTGGCAGGGCTTCTGAGGGACCAGTGAGAAACACCATGGAAAAGAAACCTAGAAGCAGTTAAGGACACTCACATTTACTATGCTGTATTGAAAATACTGTTCGTGGTCGGAGTCTCCTATCAGCTCTTCTGAATGTTCAGCCAAACTCAAATTGATCTGATCCAAACCTTGGTAGGGATGCGAATAGCATAGCCATTCGTTCCATTGCTTGGTGAATTTTGTACTCAGTAGCCTCACATTGTCTCTCAGGAGGTGGAAGCATAGGTGAGTACTCTGGGTGCCAAGAGCATGCCTGTGCCTCTGGCTCTGTGCATTCCTACAGGAGTGAACAAAATGAATCAGACCTCCTCAGTCCCTGGTGTGAAAGATCAGACTAGTAGGGGAGCCCCGTAGGGTGAAATAAATAACATCTGGCTGATCTTAAATACTTGTGCTAGAAATTAAGAAGGAAGACATGATTGTATGCCTACGGTACAGGAGAACTGAAGGCCACTTTACATTCTCCTATTTGAACTAGTACTGTGTGTTCAAATGACTTCCGAGTTAAGTATCTATCCCTTTTCTGTGGCACACTGGTGTTATATTACTGAAGTATCTCCCTTTGCAACATCACATAGTAGTGTAATCCTCCTCTGTAGACCCACAACTACTAGATGATGGTCTGGATTCTTTTTTAAACAAGGTTATGAATTCATAAGCTATTTTGTACATAGAATGCATTGTTCATTAACATATTTCAGAGACTTTTATACAGGTTGAATATCTGTGTGGTTGGAAATGTCATCCTCAAATATTTGACTCAGTGTTTGTCACATTGTTGTGGTTATAAACCATTTTAACCTACTCTCAGGACATATTTGTAGATAAGAATAAGTTATGCCTTCTTCATGAGTCCAAATTTTAACAAAAATGTGACCTATTTTTACCAATATCAAAACTTTTCCTAATTCTCACTATATTTTGGTAAGAGTTTTAAGAACTATTAGCCTTTACCTATTCAATTGTTTTTGCACCATCAAGCCAAGTTGTATTTGCAGCTCTATTTTGTGCAGTTCAACATATGTAGTTTCACCAGACATAGACCTGGGCATAAGGATCTTTGAATTTTACACTTGGATAACTGAACTTGAGTGTAGCCAGCAAAGCCTGGAGAGGTTCCAGACTCACCACCAATCTCCCCTTGTGGCTTCTATGCCACTTGCCCTCCTTGGCCATTTACCTTATCTAGTTTGTTCTGTAAATTCTCACCTGTGCGTCTGAAATGCATTGATGTAACTGGGACCCTCTTTTTTTCTTTCTATTTAATCTTCTGGAAGCCACATCTGGAAGTGACTGCTGCAGTAGGCCAGTGTTGTTCTCCTGAGCAAGGCATAAACACATCAGTTAAAGCAGAAGAAAAGGGAAGGGAAATGGGAGAATGGAAGAGAAGTGGAAAGCAGAGGAAAAAGAAGCAAAAGAAATATAAAAACTATAGATATGTAAAAAAAAATTCCAGTTAAATATAGAGTATCCATTACAAAGCAGATCTTCATCCCTAACCTGTGATTAGTTTGGTACTTGAAAAAAATATTCACCTGATTATCTTCAGGATGAAGGGAAAAATAGGATCTTCTTTATCTCTTGGGCCCTTACAGTTTCGTTTTACTAAGAATTAGACTCACATCATTACAAGGATTGCAGAGGTTCGTGGCTGCACAGCATACTGAGAATCTGTGATGGTTGCGTGCTCAGCCCTAAACAAGGCATTTATACACATCCTCTCTGAGGCTCAGTGGACCAATGAGAAAGACTAGACAGAAAAAATGCAGAAGTTGGAAGATGGGGAGAAGGACTTCAAAATACCACCTTCTTGGCAATATGTAGCCACTGCATTGAACGCGAACAACTGCAGGTGCCTGCACAAGGTCTGCACAAGAATAGGTTCATTAACAGTCAGGCATGGATGAAAGAGGGGCTTAAGGGACTGTACCCCTCATGGCTGAACTGTTCCCTACTGAGATGCAGGAAGAAGGAGAACCATTGCCTTTAGTTGTGTCCCCACTGCTGACCCCACCAGACTCCGATGGACAGTCTCAATCCAGTGGTCACACAGATGGTCCTGGTTAAACTAAACAGATAAAGAAAATCAAAAGTCATGAATCTAGGGAAAGGATAGATAAGAAAATAGAGGGGTGGACAGGGGTGGAAGGGAGATAAAAGAGGGTAGAAGCAGAGAGTAGTTACAGAATGCATTGTATACATGAATGAAATTGTCAAAGAACAAAATTAATTAATAAAAAATCAGACTCACAATATCCACTCATTTCATATCATTTCATAGACATTTATCCCTTATTTGAAAGGCACACACTCCTTTTCTAGGAGTGATTGACTTTAATTGAACCACTAAGCACCCAGCAAGGAGTACCTTGAGCTTGCCAACTGTGGATTCCAGACGTTTTGCACGTCAGTCCATGCAGTCAGGGAGCCTACCCATCCACCTTTTAACTGCTTTTCTTTGTCTTAGCCAGACTCATTTTTATTAGTGGAGGCAGAGACCAGTTGCTGAGCCACTCCTCTGGTGGCCTTGGCTCTCTGAGACAGATGAGGGTCATTCATTCACTAATGCTGACACGGATTTCCTGATCTATCACACTGGGCCAGGCAAGAATGAGGTCACTCCAGCAGTCCATCATGAAATAAGAAAATTGGATACAGACCTGACAACCATAATATGTCATAGCACTTCAGATAGTCACTGGTAGCATCCCTACAACCTCCTGAAGATAGGGCCTAGCCTTTACTCAGTACCTATTATGTGCCAAGTGCTTTTAGACCTGAAAAGATTTGATATTTCTTCTAGTCTACACAGCTTGTGTATGGATAACTTTTGGTTTTACTGGTACAGAAGGACTAGGTAATTTAACCAAATGCCTACAGTTAATTTTCATTGAAAAGTAACAAGTTATAGCCAGTTTGTATTTGGGAGCTACATTTCTGAGCTGTACCTACAGTTCCGTTGTAGACTCTCTGGAGAAGCAACTGCTGTTAGTTGTAGTGACATTCTTTTGAAGTATCTTGAAGCAAAGGTACTTGGTAGGCTCCGCAGGACTGTGAGAGAGGCCTGTGTGCATGTGTGCGTGTGTGTGTGTGTGCGTGTGCGTGTGTGTGTGTGTGTGTGTGTGTATGTGTGTATCTGCAGGGTTGGAATGAATGGGTAGACTTAGAGGTGTTCCCAGCACTTTGCCATAGTGGATTTGAATGACTTCATACATATACAGACCAAGTCTGTAAAAGCAAATGACCTCTTTCCTCCCGCTGTCTAGCATCCAACTTGGCTCCTCACCACTCACTTCCCCACCCCCATACCTCTTTTACATCACAGCTAAGAAAGTTTTTACAACACAGATCAAAGCCTTGCACTTGAATTAAGTGTAAACTCTTCAAAGTGACTTTATTGAGTGCTTATTATATTCAAGGTACTTTTCTGAGCAGGAAAATAACAATGAGTAAAACAGCTGCTTCTGTCCAATCTCTACCCTTCTCAAACATACATTCTAACAGGAGATAGATAATGCAAATAAATAAATACATTTCACTTTATGCTATACATTTTTAAATTAGTAGAAGGGATGGCTTGTGAGTTCAGATGAGGAATTTTATTTAATTTTTATTTATTTATATTTTGTAAATTTTTACTGAATTTTTGTGTATTTCCTACAGAACATCTTAATCACCTTTATGCCCCCTTCCCCACTGGTACCCTCCCATAGCTCCCTACCCCACTGGAATTCATACATTCTGTCTTTTGTGTTAAGGGCTATCCTGTCAAGTTAGTGTCTCCAGATGTCCCTCAGTGCAAGTTCATCCACTGGGGTCTAGTCAGCCTATGTAGAGTCTTTCTCTCTAAGAAAATCAGCGTTTCCCCACCCAGCAGTAATCAGCTGCCAATAATTCATTGACTAAGATGGGGGCCTGTTGCCCATGTCTACAGTTTTGTCCTTGGTTTTTGTCTGCTTGAGTCTGCACAGGTCTTGTGCATGCTGGCATCATTGCTGTAGGTTCATAGGATCAAGGTCCCAGGAGCTTATAGGACTCTGTTTCCGTGTGGTCATGCACCTCCTCCCTGGCTCTTACAATCTTTCTGCCCCCTCTTCTGCAATGGTTCCTGAGCCCTGGCTGGGTGAAGTTTAATATAAGAGTCCTGTCTGAGGACCCACACTCTGCAGACTCTTACTCTCCACAGTTTGGCCTTTTATGACCTTTTGTGTTCTTTGCCCTTTGTAGCATGAAGGGGCTTCACTGATAAGAATTGAGAGATGAATAAGTGGCCTCTTTACCCCTTGTTCTATGTTCCGTGAGCCTTAGGTATAGAGGTTACATTTTAGATGTGTCCCTTTGGCTTGGGCAATTCACAAACAATGTCTGTGTGTGACCAGGTGTGGAACTCTGTGTGTGTGTGTGTGTGTGTGTGTGTGTGTGTATGTGTGTGTGTTGCATGCCATAGTGCACATGTAGAAGTCAGAGGACAATTTTGTGAAGTCTGTTCTTTCTGTCATGTGGGTTCCAGGGGTCAGACTCAGGTTATTGGGCTTGGTAGGAAGCATCTTTACTCTCTAAGTCATCTCACCCACCCAGAGTTTGCAATTTTAAATAAAGTGGTCAAGTGGCATTTGAGCAAATAATGAGAAAGGGGAGGCAGCTAGGTATTTGGAGGCCAAAGAGAAGAATATACCAAGCTAAGGGAACCATCAATGCATGCTTGCCTGGGGTATTATAGGAACTGTATGGAGGCCACCTGGGAGGAGGAAAATTAGTTAGCTACAAGGAGTCACATCTTTGGCCACTGTAAGAATTTTCACTTTTATGCTAAGTGAAATAGGAAGCTACTGGAAAAGAAAGAGCAAACCTGTGAAATGTTGTGACATGCTTTCAAGGGTCATTCTGGCTCCTGCCTGCTATGTGGACATTGACAATGGGGTAAGAGAGTGGAGGCACAGGCCAGTTGTGCTGGGCTAAAGCATCCCTGTTATAACTTCGTTTAGCCTTAACTGCCTCATAAAGACCCAGGTCACATTAGAGCTTCAAGCTTCAATGTCGGAACGTATAGTAGAAATAATTTTATTTCTAATAGTCATATATACATTTTTGGTGGCATCCTTCTTATTTTCATAATGGGCAGTCTTCCAAACAGGCTGTTCATCTCTGTCAATTGGTCAATCCCTGGGGCACTCTTTCTAGGCTCAGCAAAACCCCAGATATCAAAGCATTCAGAATACAGACAATGAAATACAACCGCATTTCCTTTTTTAAAATTCTAAATTCAAGTTGATCATGGTGGTGTATGCCTTTAGTCCTAGCACTTAGGAGGCAGAGGCAGGTGGATCTCTGTGAGATCAAGACAAGCCTGTTCTACATAGCAAGTTCCAGGCAAACCTGAGGCTACAGAAGCACTCTGTTTCAAAAAAATATTCCTAAGTTCAAAACTACCAAGTATAGAGTGAGACAGGTGTATAAACTGATCATTATAAAAGGATGTGAGAACTACTACTATGGGACAAAGACATCAGAGACCACCTGCCTCTGATCCCTGGCTGTGTCTCCTTCTGGCTCTGTCATTTCCCCTTAACTGGTTTTCATGTTGCTCCCAAAATCAATAATATCCTTTATGTTCTTCAAATGAAAGTATACTTATCTGACTTCAAGGCCCATTGTCTGTCCATACCATCGTTACTCATCCAGATTTATGCCACTTTGTGCCATTTATGCCACACTTACTCTGTGACTAGAACTGCTTAGAGCAAATAGATCTTTTAAAGTGTGGTAAGCAGCACCAAAAAGAAATATATGCTTCCACATGACTATGTTCTGTCAGCACTATGGCTCATCCATCCCATGCATTCTTCATAGTGATATGACCTGTGGGCTGGCCCAAACCATGTCTTTCCATCTTCAAGTCTCTGTAATATTTGCTAGAAGATTAATTCCTTACTCTGTGCTATTAAGTGTTTGTGAATATTGTATGCATTCCTTTCTTTTCACTGTGTTCTCAGAAGCTAAGCACATTACCTAGTATGCCTGGCTTTCAGCAAATAATAACTGCATTCACATAAGAACCACATATGTCTTTCTGGAAGTTCATTTAAATCCCTTTTCTGTGAACTCCTATAGTTCCTCCCATAAAAATTAGCATCAAATATAGAGGTTTTAGTCATCCATTAAAGGTCCTAATGGATTCATCCCAATTCTCTCACTGGATTATAGACTTTGGAGGCTCCAAGATATATGCCTTACTACAGTAACATGAAGTTGGACCTAGAGGAAGTACATACTGCCAACATGAATTTTTTAAGTAAAAAGACAGTGACTTTGATATTCCCACAAAATATCATTTCCAGAAAATTTCTCCCAATTAATTAAACAACTTTTATGCAACCTGGAAGTTTAGTAAACAATATAGCATAGTAGTTACAAACAAGGATTTTATATATTATAGACCCCGGTTTGAGACCCAGGTTTGTTTCTTTCTCTCTAAATGACCTGGGACAGGTTACTTAGTCTGAGTCTTTCAGTCCCAGTTTTCTTATCTCCTGAATGGAGAAGAGTATCTGCTTCATGGGAGCACTGTAAGTAATACATGAAATAATGTATGTAATTTTGAGCTTGCTGTTGACATAGGTGAATGAATCAATAATAGGTGGCATTATTTATGTTGCTGTTGGCATTATAGTAGACACTTTTTCTTCCCAGCAAGCCATTTAAAATCAAGGCTGATGATAAAGGAGTTTATTGAGGTTTAGAGCATTTTAGTGACTCTCTCAGAGTCACAAAGATAGGGAGAAGCATACCCAGAACCCGGCCTCTGTGGCTCTAATATAAATTTTCTTCCTTTGCACACAGCCCTGACTGTCAGGAAGAACACTCAGCCAATTTCCATGGGGCCAAAATAGTCTGTTCAAGACCGAATGAAAATAATTCCTCCAAATGGTTGTTTTAGAGTCCTGGAGACTCAAGTAAACATTCAGAAATATACAGATTAGTTAACAGGTGGAGTAAAGTGTGGGGAAGCCTTGCTGTTCTATGTATATTGCATATATTTTGTTTAGAGCCATCAAGGGGATTAGGAATCAGATCCTAGCCATTTCAGGTAAGAGCTGCACAGTTCAGATGTTCTTGTCCTTGTAAGCTGCCCTGCTTTCTCCTTTGATGACTTTTCTGTTGAAGGGGGTTCTCTTGGCAGCTCTAGGGCACCTCAGCTTTTGCTTAGCTGGGACTGGGTCGTCATACTTCACTCATTCCCTCTGTCAGAGACAGAGATGGGCCGTTCGCTGCTGCTCAGGAGTGGCAGCCTCCGTTAAGAGGGAGAAAAGATGTTATCCAGAGACAGCTAGTGCTTTCAATGGCCGAGGCCCCACCCCTCATCCACTTACCTGAGTCATCCTTCTTTACTCTTTGTTCTAGGATCAGTGCTACCTACTGTCTCCAGCTCATCCTAGGGGATTCCATCTGCTGATCCTCTTCTCTCTAAAGTTCTGTTTTATATCCAAGCACCTGGTTCTAGACAAGCTAATTCTCTGAAAGATCTGAGCCACTCTACTTGAAATGGCATTTTTAACATCCTTGGATTCTCTATAGACAAATAGTTGAACACAGCAGACCTTTATGCATATTTTGTAACTTAAAGATTGAGAAGCTATTAAAAACTGACCCACCTCTCTTGTGTTTTCTAGATAGACCACATAGTACAGAGCCATGCTGCCTTTCCTGAGCTACAAGCCAAGGCCACAGCAAGGTAACTTCTCCATCTGTTCCCCTGCAGTGTTCCTGTGTAGGTGCATGGGTGTCATTCATTATAAGCAGTTGGATGGTTTTCAGATCTTAGGGACAATGAAATGTTTGACTGTACTTATGGTTATCATCCAGATGATCTCAAAACTACATTTGTTAAGTTTGCTTTAGAATGATCTAAGAGGGGCCGGAGAAACTAGAGATCTCTCACACAGAGATGATATGGATAAGGAGCCCTGGTGTAGATGACTGTGACAGATTTGTAGTCAAACTTCTTGGGTGCATACCCTAGTTTTACTCCTTTCTAGGTGTTTGAACTTATATACAGTATTCTGTCTCCATAACTCTGTCTCATCATCTGTAGAGTGGAAATACTAAGATGGAGTGGCTTTGGAGGTATACTCAGTAAAGGTGAGTGTGAAGGAGTATTCACAGCAAAGTGTCCTTTGTGAAAAAAAGAACATATAAGAAAATATATGAGTACTTACTCATTTGTGAAAAAACTACAGGAAAATTAAATTAGAAACCAATGAAATTGGTTACCTATAGAAGGTAGGAAGAGACTTTGTGACCCCAAAATGATTAGAAGAAAGAAAATAGATAATAGATAAATAGATTATATAGATAATAGACAGATGATAGATTGATAGATGATATATAATAGATAGATAGATAGATAGATAGATAGATAGATAGATAGATAGATAGATAGATAGATAGATAGATAGATAGAAGATAGATAGATAGATAGATAGATAGATAGATAGATAGGTGATAGATAGATTCCATGATATATACTTACAGGGGAGTGAACAAAATAAAATATAAATGGGAGACTATGAGCCTTCTGTATTATACAGGAATAGTAGGACCATATTACTATAAAAGGTTAGGAGAATAAAAGAACTAACCTAAGTAATTCTTGGGAAAGAATATCTTGATGGTATGGTCAGTAGCTAAAGGTAAAAGTAACTTCAGAAATATTATATTCATTTCTCAGTTTGTTTTTCATATGTGTATATATTAACTAAACTGAAAACTCTATGTATATACTCTATTTGAGCAAATAGATAGACAGACAGACAGACAGATAGATGACAGATAGATAGATATAGATAGATAGATAGATAGATAGATAGATAGATAGATAGATAGATAAATGGTGGATAATGAAGCCAAGATCAGCACAACTAGTAAAAAGAGGAGGTTAGAACAGTTAGAATATTTGTTGGCAGAAACTGTAAAAATTCTAATACTGGAATTGAACGTAGCGAATCACTTTCACCATCCTAGCACTGGGAAATGTGAGGCATGAGAATTACCATGAATTCCAAGCCTGCTTTGGCAACATAGGAGTTCTAGGTTACCTGCACTACAGGGTAAGACCCTGTCCCAAAAAAAATGTATGTACATATAGAGCAAAATTTAAATGTTGGTAAGTTAGTTAGCAGTGTTGTTAATTTCTAAGATGATGAGTCTTCATGTCAGCTCAATTAAACAAGGGCCCAGAGTAGGTAAGAACTAGGTGGCAGGCCAGCACTAGATTGAGAACTATTTGAGACTGATTACTGCTGGGTAAGGGAGAGTAAGACTTACATATGCCCACCGGATGGGCCGACTAGACTCCAGTGGATGCATTTACACTGAAGGACCGTTGAGTACAAACACTTGAATGAATAGGACTCTGCATGTTTGGCAGAGTGCATGGGGTTCTGTGGGGTAATAGAGGGAGGTATGGATGGGTGAGGGAGTCTGGATTTGAATGGGAAATGTGTGAAGTTTAAAAAGCTCAACAATTTTTACTCTTAAGGTCATTTGAGGAACTGTTCCTCAGGGGTCACAAGGGCTTGGGAGGAGCCCCTGGCTCCTTTCTTTTACCAGTTCTGCCTATGTGAAGATGTCAAAGGTCCTGCTCGACATGGTTGGCTTTGCTTGGAAGCATGGAGGAAATTGCTTTATCTGGGCCACTGTATGGCCTTAAACACCCAAAAGGAAAGTATAACCAAAGATTAAAGGGGTCAATATAATTTCTTGAGAGTCCATATGCATAGCTAAAGGCTTCATAACAAGCAACAATGCCAGACAGGTGATACCTTCTTTTGAGTTGTTGGCCAGGGTGGCCAAAGGGACTCCTAGATAGTAACCCAGCATAGAACTGGTAAAATGAACAGCAGACTCCA